TATAATAATAATTATGTTAACAGCAAACGGCGGGCTGCGAACCAGTACAATGAAGGTGATTACGTTCTGATCAAAAATTTCGACTCAACGGCAGGTGTATGTAGAAAGCTAGTCCCTAAATTTAAAGGGCCTTATAAAATTTCCAAAGTCTTACGAAATGATAGATACGTGTTGGAGGATGTTGAAGGTTTCCAACAGTCACGAATACCATACAAAGGAGTTTGGGCTGTGGCGAATATACGACCTTGGTTAAGCAAAAGCTAAAAATAAATTACTTAAGATCAGGTGATCTTTCGGTCAGAATGGCCGAATTGTAGCAATAAATAAGCAGTTAACCCTTAGTATGTCTCCTTAGCCCTAAGTATATAGAAGTATCGATGTAGGGTTAATTTGAATATTAGCCGTTAGTGTAAGTTTGTCTATTATCCTTTATTCTTCATCATCATTCTTAATCAATATAATGTATTCATTCTAGCATACTATGTGTCAATGTAAGCTTATCTCTTTCACTTGATGTACATACATAAGTTACTTCGGGAACTTTCCAAAAATGCTGATGCAATAAAAGGCAGTTGTTGAGTGACATTGAACGAGTACGGTCGTTTTCTTTGAAGTAGACTACTACATGATGTAGTTAAATTTTTCATGCTTTATTTGCTAAAGTGGCTCAGAAGTATGTCTGATACCAAATGTTCATAGTATGTACATTCTAAATTCCTACTTTCCTAACGCGGCCACGCATATGGACAGGACCGCCGGGTGAAGTGTAACTTGCGGGTAAGGCGTTATTACGCGCACTTATTTCCTACGGGGTATTTTTGTATGTGCACATCGGTCATTTACTTCAATAGTGTCATGATCCCAAATATCTGTTATTCTATGTTTTGTTAAAATTTCATAGCTGTATCGATTAAAAAGAGCTCATTAAATAGAACTATTAGAGGATATCGATGGCTGAGTGGAAGATCGACCTATCTCGGCAGCCAGTTCGAAAACGCTCTATCTCAAAAAACTTTTCAAGAACGCTTTATTTCAGAACTCGTTTCAAAAACGCCCTATCTCACTTCAAAATATATTGAAAATATGCTGATATAGGGCGTTTTTGAAACGAGTTCTGAAATAAAGCGTTCTTGAAAAGTTTTTTGAGATAGAGCGTTTTCGAACTGGCTGCCGAGATAGGTCGATCTTCCACTCAGCCATCGATATGTAAATTCAAAAGTTTTCTATTTTTGAGTTATGGCAGTGCTGAAGTAAATGAGCGGTATGTAGTTATTTATTTCTGTAAAGCAATTATTCATTAAAAATTTATGGATGGTTGACAGATAATTTGGCATGCACAGAAATCATTAACACGCTTTAGTTCGAGTTAATGAGTGAATAGACAAGTAAATATGTAGACTGTTTTTGTTGAGTTAAAAATATGGAAAACATATTTTCGTGTAGCTCAGCAATGCACTTGAGGATATTTAAATAGTTTTGATACTGTTCTACTTTAGTAACATTCACTCAATTCACGCATGTACTCCTGTTAATAAAACTGTTAATAAAGAAATTTTAGGTAGCACATAATTCAAGGTACAGGGGCTAATGGAGGTAAAAATATAGATTTTTTTGCTACTGAATGCAAAAGGAAAATTTATTTCACTTTTATGTATGTATATGTGTAGGTAAGAGGTCTATGTATCTCGAAACAAAATATATACATACATACATAAGCTCTTTTTTACTTTTCAGCCAAAATCGTGGACAAGGACAAAAATGCGTGATTCCTGCCCTGATAATAGTCTAGCGAATACTCTTTGGTCTTGTTTTACACGTCTCCGGCTATGAATTCGATTTCAGAGTAGGACTACAGATTTTCGTTTTCGGGACAACTATCCAGATGATGTGAGATGAGTGCAAAAACGTTAGATATGGCGTAAGGAAACCGATTAACTTCGATTTAATTGGTGATTAGCTGTTAGTGTTGGTTGATTCTTCCGACAGGGCGAGAAGTTAAATTATTTTGTAAAAAATTTCCATCATACCTTGTTGTTGTTGTAGCACTGCTTAGGGTTGGATGACCCCTTGTCATCAAGCTTAACTAACGGACCTAGGAAACCTGCTATTTCGATGGGGTTAACCTATAGGGAGAGGGGTATTAATGAAGTTGGGCTGAGTGGGCATGAAAAATCACCAGGATGGGCGGTATCGAAAAAAAATTTGCTGGTGGGAAAAATTGAGCAACAGCTTCAATAAAAAATTCCACGATAAGTCCCAGCTACTCCAAACTTTTACTTTGCTATAATAAAATTGAATGGGCTACAAAATTGCATACTAAAAATATTTCTAAGAAATCTAATTAAAGAGCTTAAAGTTTGCTGATTTTTTTTTTGATTTATACGGTTCTCGTTAAAGAATAAACTATACTTTTATAAAAAAAAATTTTAATTAAATTGCAAAAAAAAATTATTTTTTAAAACTTCCAATATGTGCTGCGCTTATAATTTTGGCATGGGGTGTACTTTCCTTAAAAGTCTCTTTTTTTCTGTATGATTATCTCGGTTGTATCTTTGTCTCTTTAGCTTATTGAATCCAAAAATGCACTTCAAAGACTTGCCCCCAAAACACAGGGGCGAAAGGACCAAGTCCCAAACCAGCGTTTTCTTCAAACTGATCGCCACACTTAATGTAATGTGCCAATTTTTCGGAGTAGCGCCGATTTTAGACTCACCACGCGAGAAACGTCATGTCTTACGATGCTTTCATTATATTTGGTGTGCCATCTTCGTAATATATATTTATGGCGTGAACGTTTACTACGCCTATCAACCCCATGAAGCACTCGTCAATATCGTAAAATTATTTTTTATAAGCGAACTTTTCAGCAATCCTATAATTGTGTCCTTAATAGTCATCACTACACATTGCCATGCCGAAAAATATCATCATATACCACGTGAGCTTCTGCGTATCCATAGGCATTACAAAAGCCTGCAACCGGCGAATGCCCGCATTGGGAAGGACCTCTTTTCTGTGCTCCAAAAGGAAGTGCGACTGCTGCTCTTCATTGTATGTCCATTCTTACTATGTTGCTTGATTGTTGATTGTATGCGCACGCACCCCGATTTCGTTCATTGGTTGCTCAGCTTAAGCATTTTTCATTTACCGAATATTCTGATAAGCCTCAATTTAGGCCAATATTGGTTGGCGCTACGTTTCTTGTGTCGACTGTATCGAGGTTTTAATCAGATATTGAAGCAACGATTGCAACAAATTAGTTCGAGCGATTTAAGCGGTGGCGTTGAAACAAATGCTGGTGATACCTGCGCAAGCGAATTCTTTTGGTATCCGCGTGAATTCTACAACACACACCACCCAGGCGGAGTAAATGATGAGTGCAAACTTTTGAAGGCTATACGTGGATCATATGGCGATTTGGATGCGTTGAGAGCACAATTGACAAGCTTGTTTGGACTCGTATTACTTTTAATATTTCTCGGCTCGCTACTCAGTCTAACCGTGGAATGCTTTGCTGTTTATAAATTTCTTGATTGCGACAATGCTACAGCGAACGAGTTGGCAACGGTATATCAGAGGTTATTGAATATTTTAATTCATATTGGACGCATATTTCTGATTTTAGTCACAAACAATGCGATCATTGAAGAGGTAAGGTGCTGTAATATGAGAAAATTTAAGAGGTAAATTATACTAAGGAATATGGTTTATTGTTTTTTTTTGTTAGAAATGCCAAACTTCATTCACACTAAATGAGTTGCATATTACATCCGAAGAAATGGAACATGAGGTCAATCGCTTTCTAATTCAACTCATGCTTCATCAGCCAGCAGAAATGGTTTGTGGGATAGTAGATTTGGATTTATTAGCTCTAGGTGGGGTAAGTGAGAAATTTAAATATGTAGGTACATATGTATTTACATACATACATACATATGTATATGCATACATGCATGCATATCGTCACCTGAAATGCAAAAAGACGTAACAACATAATCGTTGAAATGAAAAAAGTCATAACGAATAAAAAACTCAAAATTCACTTTTTGATTTACATGATGATTTCATCGAATCACAACTCCCCACATCATTTTATGAAAAAAATAAAAATAAAATATTAGTCACGACTTTTTCCATTTCAGTTACGATGTTGTTACGTCTTTTTGCATTTCAGGTGACGATATATATCGATAGCTAAGATTTATGTATATTAGAGTGCATCGCTCTCCATACTGCCTTTCCATCGGAATTATAAAATCTATTACACTTTGACACTTCCGCCAAACTAAAAAAAAAGATTTACTACGTGTGCTGGGTCGATTTGAATATACCTACAGAAATCGAGTTTTTTAATTTAAATTGGGTTTAAGCAAGTAATTAAAAAAATTAAAAAACAGGTTTTATTAGTGTTTAATAAAAAAAAAGAAAAATCGACACGCGCTCCACCTAACGGCTAAATTTTATTTATTTACACTTAAGTTATATAGATTTTAAATATGAACCAAATCATGTTTTATGATGTTATTCCTTTTGATGTAAGTACTCGCAATATGAACCCCATCGGACCATAAATACATGTTTATCAAAAATCTTCGCACCCGCGCCACCTAGTGGACTAATTCCTCTTTCAAATTGCATTGTAATTGGGTTCTGGGATCAATTTGAAGTTTCAGGTGAAACTTTATAAAAGCTTTTAATAATATTTTTTCCAAAAAAATTTGTTCATATGATAGAAGAGTTTAAGCGTAGAAATTATAACAACGCTTTCAAAATAATGAGGTTTTTGGAGTTATTTTCAAATCGGTCCAGCTCAGGTAAATATTAATATTTTTCCGAAATATTATGGCGGAAGTCTTAAAATATATTAAGTTTTAAGATTTTGTAAAAAAACCAAATATAATTTGGGGTTAGTGAGGCACCCTTATGTTCATACAACATTCAAAAAGTCCATTCTGCTCAGGCGAAGTTCCGTGAATTGTTATATACTCCTCTGGTATAATATTCATTAGTCTTCTTTTATACGTATAAATAACTATAAAATACTAAACAACAAACTTCAAAAATAACTCAAATCAAAAATTTGAATAAGTTGTGACACGCTATTGCCTCTGCTGTGAGTTTCCGAAATAGGGACAGGCAGAAGCAAAGCAAGCGATAGGCACCCTTATTCGTAAAAGGGTGGAAGGAGAGCTTATAACACATTTTCGCCACTTACAGGCTTTGCCTCCGTTGGTTGGTACCGGTTTCATCACCATTACAACAGTTCCGAATCAGAATCGTCTACATTTTGCAATAATGCAGTCTTCGTTGACCCAGTCCAACCTAATTTAACGCCAGTAGCTTGTATTTTCCGAACGGCTAGTTTTCCGTCTTACTTGTAAAATAAATATACTGCACCTGTGCCTTTTATGAAATAAGCCCCTGCTCTAACGGCCTCATATCGATGGCTGAGTGGAAGATCGACCTATCTCGGCAGCAAGTTCAAAAACGTCCTATTTCAGAAAACTTTTCAAGAACGCCCTTCTTCAGAATTTGATTGAAAAACGCCATATCTCAAACGAAAATACATTGAAAATAAGCTGAGATAGGGCGTTTTTAAATCGGCAGCTGAGATAAGGCGTTCTTCAACAAAATCCGAGATAGGACGTTTTTCAATCAAATTCTGAAGTAGGGCGTGTTTGAAAAGTTTTCTGAGACAGAGCGTTGTTCAAAAATTTTCTGAGATAGGGCGTTTTCGAACTGGCTGCCGAGATAGGTCGATCTTCTACTCAGCCATTGATATATAAATTTGTGCACGTTGCATATCGCTACCTTTAGGTGAAAAGGTGCCAAGTCCCTTTTTTCAAAGCTTAGTTTTTGATGCAGAATGGCAAGTAATACCAAACTACATCGATTTTTCGTCTCTCGTGAACAATTAAAAAAAATGGACATAGGTAACTCTACATAAAAGCTTCATATGTACACATTTTATTTCAAAACAGATTGGTGGAATTATGGCCAACTACGTTATATTTCTTATCCAAATCGATTTGGGCAACATAAATATGGATGAAAATAATCAAAACATTGCAGCAATACCAGGAGATAGATTTAGTTTATAAATCAACAACAACTACAATTTTTTCACGGGATTGAATATCCAGCCATTGTCAGCTTTGTAAACAAAAATAAAATAAAAGAGTCACCAATGGCTATCTTAATGTAATCTAAATGCAAAAAGCATTGCACGCATCCTTCTTAATTATTGTTTTATATGTATGTACATCGCTTGGTCAAATAAAGAAAAAAAAAAACAAATTTTAACGCTACACATTTGTAGCAAGACAATGCTAGAACTTATATTTAGCACAGTTGGACTCACATAAAGCTGAATTATTCACTCGAAATTTTGTCAGTTGGCCTTTTAGTGCGCCATAGTCAATATGCTAAGCTTAAAGTTGTTTCGAGAACGTGCCAGACGCTTTCTAAAACTGCAATTCGTGAAGACCTGGCGTATCTTGCTTAGCTGTTATTTTGCAATCCGCACTGCATTTGCTTGGGGCGCCGAAAAATTGCACGCTTTCGGCGTGGACCTGGGTGAAGAGACAGGCATATTGGCGATAAGTCTGATTGCAAATCGGCGTATACATCCAATCGAGCGGTAAATTGAAAAGTGTTGGCTTTCTTGTTCACCCGTCTATATGTACTGGTTTTCATTCTTTTAACACTCCGACGTATGTAGTTTCCTTTGGTTCGTCATTGTTTTTGTATCCACATTTGCTGCGATACAGATAAGTGGTCTACAGTTGAAGCGCTATACCAATTCGCCGACAGTTATCTCGGTGGATCGTGATTATCGTGGCTGGCATGGCCCGATGCCAGCTGTTACGCTCTGCTACTACGACCATATTGACTCCTTCAAAGCGAATGAGTATATACAGAATCACTGGAATGTGTCCATTGTCGATAATGACTACTTCTATTTTATGGATTTCCTTCAAGCTGTCGTCAATGCAACAGCTAGTAACTACGTTGATTTAGCGCGTTTCGCCGAAGATGAACGTTTCGATGATGTGGATCTGTCGGAGCTTGTGCTCGCAATATATAGACCCTTTGAACAGGCATTGACCAGTTTCGATAAGCAAAATGCTACAATAAAAATAATGCCAGTTATGACGGAACGTGGATTTTGTTATGCGATAAATTCGCCAATGTCGGAAATATTGGCTGGCAGGTAAGCAGGTGGTATTTAATGCGAAAGGAATGGAATTTGTTTATATTAAAGAAAAAATGTCTATGCCTTCTTTGCTCGTTTTAGAAGCATTGATTACAAGGATATGATACGACCATTATCCTGTGAATATGGCAAACAGCAGTGTTTCATTAAAATGGACTTGTACGAGAGTACAGGCACAGTGGGTGAAATTTTAGGATCGATCGCTGAATGCTAACGCAATTTACTATAATTTCGCCTAGGTCGATGTTCATTCGCCATTTGAGGTCTCAGCAAGCGATGCTAACATTATACCGCTGCATAAGTCTGATGAAATAATTGCCTTCTTCAAAGTGCTCGAAACAGTGTAAGTAAAGCAGCATTCACATGGGGCGATTTTGTAAGCGATTCAACAACGCCTGAAAAGTTTAAGGCGAATTTATCGCTTTCTATTAAATTGAAATACAATTTACAAAGGCGATGTGGTTGAAAGCGATGTTGGTTCGCTTAGGAAATCGTCTCGCGTAAATGCTACATGAAGACTTCGAAGGACCTCGAAAACCTAGATTAGTTATATAAAATTTATTTTAGCGCTTCAGATAATTTGCGTGATCTGGATGTGGACCAAAGGAAGTGTGTCTTTCATGATGAGGAGACGTCGCAATTGAAGGTAGTTGGTTTTTGGGAAAACTTTATAAATGCTCGTGGAGAAATTCTCGTTTTTACTTGGTTTTAAAGTCCCTATTTTCAGGTATACAGTAAGAGTTTGTGTTTGGTGCATTGCCGCGCTGTTATGGCTCTGGAGATGTGTAATTGTGTGCCATTCTTCTACGCTTTTGTAGGTAAGTTGTCTTCGATCAGGTTGAGGAAGCTTGTACTAGTCTTGCTCAAAGACACAAATTCCGACTGGGAATGCCCTCTGTGAGGCTTGAGGTGCCACATTGTATCATTCACTCCATTTTATTATGTTGGCCTGCTCACAACAGGGGTGTCCAATGTTCTTTCTTTACTGGGGGACATGTCCATACACACCTAATTACAACTTTTCAGGTGTAGCTTTCGAAACATGCTCAAATGTGCTTAGTGTCGAGTTTGGTTTCTTATCCAGTATGCGTCTCAGATAGTTTACAGATTCACTGATCTTAAGTTTAATACGTTTTAGTAAAAAGCATAAGCTCTATTTTGTTTGGGGATTATTCCTAGGTCGCGGAAATTTCCAACTTGCGACTAATGTCACGTCGTCAGCATAAAGACGCCTCTGATCAGTTGGTTTATTGCCAAGACCCATTGGAGAGGAAATAGGACTACACTCTTGTGGCGTAGCCCTGTTGTCAAATCTGTTCGTCATATAAGTCTGAACAGTTGACCTAAAAGCGTCACCAGTCACGAGTGACTGGTTGTGAGTGGGTGCAGTTTGGTCGTATTAAGGATTTCCGGTTTCGACGCGAAGGGGGTTAAACTGACCGGAAGTCTATTTTTTTTAATGGCATATACGTACATGTTTTTTACCGCAGACACCGGAAGGTGGTAATACGACCAAAAGATAGAGCATCCTCGACTTGGTAATTCATATTTTTTCGTTTTCCAATAAAAAACATTTTCCATCATTTCAGAAGTCTAGGACCAGTTGGAGTGCGAGGGTCGCTTAGAGGGTGAAAAACGAACTTCCGAGAAAAAAGTTTCAAACAAAAGTCACGCATTTTTTATCATCAGAGTCCGAATCTGTGGTAAAAACATGTATAATTTAAAAAAAAAGTGGACTTCCGGTCAGTTTAACCTTCTTCCGGTCGAAACCGTGGGACGGTAATACCACCAAGAGAAAAAGCTTTTCTGATTTGGTAGGTCATACTTTTGCATTTTTCCTCCATTTTAGAGAGGGTGGACTGGGGCACCCTGTATATTCTCCGCCTTGAGGGATGAATACAACTTTTGGCTATATGCCAATGTTTGTTGCAGTTGAAGCGTTGGTACCTCCTTCTGGCCCCGGGAGCCTTGTGTAGCTTCAAGGTTTTAATGGCCGAGGAGAGAGTTTATTATGGGCCCTCGGTTTACCAAGAACTGTTGTAGAGCTACCCCTTCATTTCGTAGAGTCTAAGATATAAATATAGGGCTGCAATTTCTTAAATATCATCGCTGATAAGAGATTCTCAGAGCCAAGTCATTTTTATTTACCATTCATTTATATTTATTTACCTAATTTGATTTTGATATTTTCTTATTTTTTTTGTAGAAGGTCCCAGTTGTAATCCTGCTGGTTTTGAATGCCTACTGGACTTTAAGTGGCCCATTTGGGCATTGCATATTTGCAAATGTCCAAGTACTTGTACAGAAATAGAATACACTGTACAAACTGTGAAAAAGAGTTTTTGGTAATTATACAAACATACATATACACATCGCACACCTAGATCTAACCAGCGATCAACTCAAAAAAAATTTAGCAAATTTAGATTTTTTTTCCATAAATAGGATTTACCTACAATTGATGCAAATATTTTTTCATCATGATTATATAAATTAAGTAAAAAACTACCGTTTTTGTATTAATTGCATTGAATCTGTATGATTCACAAGCAGTTTTATTTTTGAGTTAGCTCATTTTAGATCTAGGTGTGCGATAGTCATATTCTTTCATACGTAGATGCATTTTGATTTATCTTTGAGTATTTAGATATTATCCTTAAACCTAAGTTTTTTTAGAAAAATAGTTCGCCGTACACCCCTGAGTCTAAAATATTTTTGCTGGCAATTTCGAAGTTTTTTTTGCCGAACGTAGGTTTAAATTTACAAAAATATCTTAGGCTCAGTGGTTTACGACGAACCGTTTTTGTTTATGTAAATTGGGGTGGTTCGTAAAAATATCAACAACATGGGGCATATATATATATTTCATTGTACGTACAAAGTAGAAATATCCACGAGAATTTCTAAATTAAAAAAATTTTTGGAAGTCGCTACCAAGAGTTGAAAAAAATTGTTTTTTTTTTACCGGAAAATTCCAAAAATTCTCATCATCAGACTCATCGAATAAGTTTCAATAAAGCGTCACATTTATTAGATTTCAAGTCACAATTTTGTCGAAGGTCTAAAAAATCTTTTTTTTAAACCCTGGTTGCGAACCCAAATTTTTTTTTACTATTTTGAAATTTTCGTGGACGTCTTTATTTTGCACTTAGAACCAACTAAAGGGGTACCCAATACAAAATTTAGATGTTGACATTTTTAAAGATCCGCCCTAATGCAAATACATACAAATAAAAACAATAACAAATATACATAAATATGTAATTATTTCGACACTTTCAGGGGCATCAATATGAATGAAGAAATTGTCAATACAGATTCAGTGACTTCCAGTTTCCGCTGGAATCTAATACCACCGAAAGTACGCATGCGACGAGACGTCGTCTTTAGCTTCGAAGACTTATTGGGTACGTAGAAAAAAAAAAAAGTAGTATTTTAGACTAATAAATTTTTGTTTAAAATATGTATCTGTAAACACTTTATAAATGCAATACATTCTCTCGATTCTTTCCATTACAGTTTCATTTGGCGGCACTTTGGCTCTCTATCTGGGCATTTGTCTAATATCCATTGTACGCTTTGGCTATGTGAGCACCTATCATTTGATATTGGTGTTTGTGGAGTTATTTGTTTGCGTGAAGGACTATTGTGCGCGCTGCATGAAAGTTTTAAAACGGAAAAAGTCCACGACATTAGTGCGGGAAAGATCGAGAAATTGTCTGACTCTACACAAAAAGCGCCACACTAACGATATTAATACTCGTACTATTGAGAGGCCTGAATTCGAATACATCAATTGAAAAAATGAATAAAGGCAACAGAGAAATAAAATACTGAGTTAAAATTGTTGCAAGAAATATATATTTGGAATGTGCATTCTTTTCAACTGCTACCTACTTTTTTTTATTAATAATCTTTAAATATTATTTCAGATATTTAGTTGGTTGTTGCTTAGGCGTTTTTTAATTCACACTAATAGAAAAAATGTTTGTTTGTGTTTTCGCGGCGCCTAATTAGAACGTTTTCGTTGGCTAATGCAAAAATAGCGTTGAAAGGCAAAAACTGTTTGCAAACGAAAAAATTATGAGTTTAGGTTGAAGCGAATGGAGAGAAGAACCCTTCTCACACATAGACCAAAAATAATAGCGCTATGATACCGATGGTTTTTATCTCCACCTGTGAGATTTCTGCGAGGATTTCTTTAATTTACAGTCTTGTGTCGCGCGCATTTTTTTTTTTGTTCTAGGAGGCCCTCCTCGCTGCTCAACAGAACGAAAGAGTTTTCAGGTTCATTGGCTAAATGAGATTCTATAAATCACATCTACTTCGTTCAGAGATAGATGTAGACATTCAGCAAGGGAATTTGTATTGTCTATGTATGCGTATAAAGCTTTGAGGGCTGCCTGACTGCCACAGAATATAAAGACTCGTTTGCGGCTCTCGGATGGCTAAAGATTCCCATGAGCTGTATTTTTTTCTTACTGGAGAATGCGAAATCAGAGCTATAGTTAACCATCGAATAAGTAACGTTACTCTTCTTGCTCCTGTTTTTTTTTTTTTTTGTTTTTGACAAAGAGAATGTTTGGATGAATAACTGTCGAAACTTTGCAACGGAAAAAGTTTATTCGTCTCGACCATTTCCGATTATTTAAATAAAGAAAACGTCCCTTTATTACGACTAGTGTTGCCAGATTTTTATTCCAGCCGTACGAGACAAATGCATAATTTGTCCCAAAAATACGGGATTTACAAAAATTTAACGGGACAAAGGAGAAATTAAGGATATGCTTTAAAAGCCCAACTATTAACAAAGGTGATCCATTTCTGCAAAGTACTTAATACTCAGATTAGTTAAAAGCTTATGATAAATTTCGTTTCTTTCAAGGCAACACTTTTTAATTTTTACAAAGATATGTACCTATCTACGTAAACATATAATTGACAAAACTATAAAAACAAAGTAAGAGATACAGATACAATTTATCTTTATTTATTTATTGTTAATAATTTTCATTTAAAATATGGGTCGATCTATATCAGATACCACATAAATAAAGATTTCAAAACTTGCAAAAAGTTCATAAAAATTATTTAAACTTAAACAAATTTTCATAAAAATTTCAATATTTTTAATTAGATTTCCTAGAAAGATTGCGGTTTTATAGCCCATTCAATTTCAGTACAATAAAGTACAAGTTTGAAGTCGCTAAAAATTACAATAGGATTTTCTATGGAGAGTGTTGCGCATTTTCTTCCATATAAAAGTCAGTATTCTTCATGCATTATATGGAAGAGAATTCGCAACAGTCTCCACAAAAAAATTCTAAAAAATCAACGGAAATTTATAGCCGTATTTCTCTTACAGAGTTGCATGCAATAATGCTTGCTATTGACCTACTCACAATAGCCGCCTTAAACCATGACCATGTTGAGTAGAAGTTTACAGGTTGAAAAGAATAATGAAATTGTCGAATATACGGGAAAACTCTTGTCCCGGCGGAACATTTCAAATTCAATGCAAAATACGGGACGTCGCGGCAAATACGGGACATTTGGCAACGCTAATTACGACAGCGCGCTATCACTAATACGCAATCATCTATGTACTTCTTATACAAAATAAAATGTGTGTCAATTAGGGTGTCAGCAAGTTATCTCGCGCCAAGTATGTATTTAGATAAAATTGATCCCTGTCGCTGCTAAGAGTTTTTTTTTTATCGCTAAATTCGGTTAAAGACACCCTTTCACGTGATTAAAATTTGTTTCTAATTTGTGTACGATTTTAAATAATGATGTAAGTTTCAAAAAAACGGTAGAATACTGAAGAAACAGAAATAAGACGCCAACAGAAATAAGACGCCATCTGTGTAAAAGCAACATAGCTGATGAAAAGTGCATGTTCTTAATAACACTTTATCTTTCCCTCTAAAGATTTAATTTTTTCATACATTTTTATGCGACAACGGTTGTGCTATATAACCGCAAAGTAATCATATCTCGTACGCATTCTAGTTAGTATTAAATATTCTGTTTTGACTGTTTGTATTAAACAAATAGTCTACAAATGAAATAATTATGCGTACGTATATATGTATTGTACATACATTAGGGTGTCGCAGCAAAAAAGTTACTGCCGTCTTCAACGAAATTATAAATTTATAGTTGAAAATTTCCGCCGAAATATTTTTGGAAAATATAAGCATTTAGTACGTAAGCTGCACCGATTTGAAAATACCCTAAAAATTTTCATTTTGATGCCGTTGATAAAATTTTTAAAAACCAATTTATTTATAAAAAAGTCGATTTTCCAGCTCACCTTAATATATCCGGCGGCGCACAGTGGTCGGAGAAGCCTTATTTTACGCGAAAAATTATAAGGCTGTTACGATGAAAATGAATTTATGCTCCAATTATGAAATAATAACAGTAATTATATTTGTAAATTAGGTATAGTTGGGGTCATCTGCAATATCATCAGCCCAAACAATTTGATCTAGGCCCAAACAGTTTTTTAAGATTATTTTAGTTTATATGAAATTCGTAATTTCCAAAATTTCAGTTGCCATTTTTAGATAAAGTTATTCAGGCTTGAATAATCGGAAATTTCAAACGCCATATTGGATTTTGCATTTTAAATTTTCAAAAACTAGCTTGCAGTTTGAAATGAGCGAATTTAAGAACCTCTACATAAATACCAAATTTAATGAAAATTCATTAATTTTTTAAATCCAATTGGACGCCATATCGGACTCGTTATTGGATTTTTGAAGATACATCTTATAAATGATATGATGCTAGATATAGAATAAATCACATCAATTTTTAATACATATTTTAATACACTTTATTTATTTGGAACAACTGCTAGAGTTGGTCTAGTGAAACAAAAATGGCAGCCACCCTTTTTGGCGCGAGTATGCGCTTCTTTTCTTTTCGTAGGTCCTCAAAGGGCCCATTGCATTAGTTTTTGGTAAAGGAATGAAGATCCTACTCGGCCCAACTAATTAGTTATACCTTTTTGCAGAAAATATTTCTTGAAAAATAAGCCGTGTTATTAAGTTGTTGATAATTTAGCAACCAACTTTTATTATATAATAAATGCATAAACGTGTAATAACTCTGATGGAAAACCCGTACCGATTTTTTTTTTGTATGAAGCGTGTGGCACCCTAATGCACATAGATGTTTTGTTCTTATATAAAAGATGTTACTTAATTATCTACTTTGTGGGCTAGCCTATGCTAACTGCTGCTACTATCGCTAGCTATTCAGTTTGTACCCAATTTTCAGCCTACATTTTCGTGCTCTTCTGACAGGCGCATTTTATTTTCAAAATCAGTTATTAGCTGACATTCGCGGTAAAAAGTCGCAATTCAGTTCACTACTCGAAGTTTAAGTTTTTCATAACTAAGTACTTGTGCATATGTATGCACATCTCTACATACATATTTACATTCTTAAAAGCACTAGCAAGTGACTGATTACTTACTTAGCTGTGAAATAAATACAAGTACATACTACTTTAAAGCCGGGGCTAATTCTTAATTGTAGAAGAACGCTACTATTTACTTTGATATATGTGAATGCATACAAATACAAAGAAGACAAGTACTATCTTCATTTTCCTTGCGTTTAAGAAATCTCTAGCATTCATGTTGATACGAGTACCCGTTTAAGACGTTACTGCAGAAGTGCGCTGAAATAAAGTGTTTCTCTCTGTGTGTATTTTGGAGACTTTTCGTTGTTGGATTTGAATGATAAGAAAAATGCAACTGATTGCTTTGTGAATTGTGAATACCTAATTCTTCTTAAGAAGATAAGCGATGCAAATAAAATTTGATGAAAGCTAAAAATATTGAAACAACGCTTGCAGTAGTGACTCAGAAAAGGCTCAGCCTAGCTGTTAAGTGCATTTAGAGAAAAAACGATTATCCTAAACTATTTATTTACTTTTGCTTCTCGCAAAAATTTGGTGCCTGAATACATACCTATACAAAAGTGCGTATCAAGTTCCTGTCGGCCATATTGACAATCCAGTATGTATGAAATACCAACAAACTTGTGCTTGGAGTGGAAGAATCTCAATTATCATGTGCCAGCGTCTGAGCAAAGTAATTATGCATTTTGGCAGGAGTGTCGAAAGGTTAAGGAGCAGCGCATACTAAAGGATGGTGCGTATGGGTAAATTTTGCTTTGCTGAGTAATTGGGGGATCTCTGTTTCCATAAAAGTGTTAATTTTAGGCTTAAACGGTTCGTAGCAATACGAGAAAGTTTCTTATGGAGAGAAAATTTGGAAATTTTCCTTGGGAAGGAAATAGAAAAATTTTGGTAAACTGAAAATGGTTTTTAAGGATTTTTTTTTTTAATTTAGGCTCATGAATTCTTATTTATTATTCAATTTTGCACACCTATTTATTTGTTGAAAAGAAATATAATTGAAAATAAACAAGTAAGAGCAGCGCTGTCTTCGGCTATGCCGAAGGCTTCATACCTTTCATGAACATCTGCAAATTTTACTTTGACAGATTACTGCTTTTGAATACATCTGCATACATCGATAGAGGAGTTACATACTTATATAAAAAATCGCATCTAAACAATCAGAGGTATGGAAGATATACTTTATATGGCACCAATCTAAGTGATTTCCACTGCTGTGTGATCGGTATGTAAACCGGTAACACAATTTATTGGGTTTAGTTTCCTACATAAAGGAGATATATGGCAAAAACTGGTATCTGAACAATCAGTGCTATAGGAGATAAAGCTTATACAGCATAATTTTTGATGATTTTCTCAGTAGAATTTGTATTATTATTTATAAAATATCTTACGAAATTTATCGGTTTTAGCTGTTCAAATAAAGAAGTTTTACAGTAAAATCCCATATCTGAACAATCAGATGTATGGAAGATATATGTTGTAGTCATCCGATCCTTGTTATTTTCACTGTAAGTATTCTGTTAATAATGAGTGAAAATGGTGCGAAATTTCATGTTCCTAGCTGCATAAATGGAGGAGTTATGATAAAAGACCTCATATCGGAACAATCAGTTGTATGGGGTCTGCAGGTTATAGTGACCCGATCTTTGTTATTTTCACTGTAAGTCTTCTGTTGATAATGAGTGAAAACAGCGCGAAAAATCATGGTCCTAGATACATAAATGGATGAATTATAACGAAAAATCTCATATCTGAACAATCAGTTTTATGGGAGCTATAGGTTATAGTTACCCGATCTTTTTAATTTTCACTGTAAGTTTTCTGTTGATAATTATTGAAAACAGTGCGGAATTTCATGTTCCTAGCTATATAAATGGAGGAGTTATAACGAAAAATTTTATATCTGAACAATCAGTTGTATGGGAGCTATAGGTTATAGTGACCCGATCTTTGTTATTTTCACTGTAAGTATTTTGTTGATAATGGGTGCAAGTACTGCAAAATTTCATGTTCGTAGCTGCATAAATGAAGAAGTTATAACGAAAAATCTCATATCTGAACAATCAGTTGTATGGGAGCTATATGTTATAGTGGTCCGATTCTTCCGGTTCCGACAAACGATTAATACATTATAAAAATACACCCACCTACCAAATTTGATGCGGATATCTCGAAAACTGAGAGACTAGATTGCATACAAACAGACGGACAGACGGACATGGCTATATCAACTCAGCTCGACGTTCTGATCATATAAGTATACATTTTAATGGGTCTATCTCTTTTTGTTCTGGTACTTACAAACATCGGACCAAAGTTATAATACCATTTCATGCTCATGAAAGGTATAAAAATAAACAATACGTCAGATGTCGCCGAAGTAGAGTTATTTTGAAAATTCGTATTTAGTGATTGATTTGGTTAATTCTGCTTTTTATTTTTTTAAGGCAAAAACAAAAGTTACAGTAATCGGTAATTTTTGCCTTTTATTTTATCAGGCAAAAATAAAAGTCAAAGCTACAAATCTAGTATCAAAGAGTTGTGTATATTCGAATGTGATAGTTTTTAAGCTCCTATCTGGATTCTAATAACCCCCTAATACCAGTGGCGGATTTGAATATTTGTCACCCCTAGGCAATTCAGAATTTGCCGCCCTTTTTCCCATAAGAAAAAATATTTTGAGATAAAAGTATTAGTTTTGGAACGATTAGCAGTAAATAGTAATATCCAAATTTATGTTATTTATCATAGTTTTATTACAATTTAAGATGAAAAAGTGGTATTTGCCTTGGGCAAAAGTTTTTCTGATTGCGTAATTG